TATTTGATATATGTCATTCAATAATGACAAATTACGTATCTTTAATCTTTGGAGTTGACCAAAATTTGGTTCCGATTCGGCCCTGATATTATCATAATATAAAAATGACCTAATTAATTATATCAAAGAGAAGATTTATTACAATTAGCTTCTTCAGATTTTAAAAAATAACTGATATAAGAGCATGAGAGTTTATGCATCGTTTATCAATGTCGAAATAAGCTTTTTTATTTAGTACTAATATATAAATATTAAAACTAGATTATTGTTCTAAAATATTGAAGAAAAAAATATATATGATAGGAAAATAGTTTACTAAATTAATTAATATAAATGTCTTTAGTAAGTGGCATGACAAAATAAATTTAGGTTTTGCTTCTTACACTATATTACTTTCCTTTTAAAGTAGATGTTTTTAAAGCAAATTGCTATGCAATTCATTTAGTTTAGCATAATAAATCTCACCTAGGTACGTTTTGGGAACGAAATCGCCATATCCAACAGTGGTCATTGTGACTATTGCCCACCAGAGACCAACAGGAATTGATTCAAAGTCATTGTTGGGATTGTACTGAAATCTCTCGGCATAGTACATCAGAGCAGCAAAAATGACAATAAAAACTATTAGGAAAAAGACTAGAAGAATTAATTCCTTCAGACTAGCTTTGAATGTGTGGATTAGAATCTTGAGGCCTGATATGTGCCGGGTTAGCTTGAATAACCGCATTATACGCACTATTGAGAAAAACTCAAGCACTTCATAGCTTGTCTCATCAGCAACTATTTGAGTGAGCAGAAGGTCGACAAAAAAAGAGATAAGTGCTAGCATGTCAATCACGTTGACTGGAGATTTGATAAATTCCATTCTTGAATGCGTGACTAGAAATCGAACAAAAATCTCAAAAGTAAACCATGCGTTGCAGACCACCTCTATAGTATTAAATACTGAATGTGACTTGACTGAACGCCTCTTGATCACCCAATCTAATCGACCAGCTTCGGGCGGCACTGATGGTGAATCTCCATGTCCGTGGATGGTTCGTCGTACTCGATCAAACCGCTCATGGCTCCCGGTTGTGTGGCTTGAGTGGCTCTTGCTGAAGTCGTTGCTACTTTGATCTGTCTCGTCATCTCCGAAACTTTTGCTATCGTCAGAGTTAGAGTCACTTTTCCTTTCGCGATTTGATAGTCCATTGATCCCGACTGAAGATCTGGATACTGTCTCATTGTGTCCAGCAATAAGAACGGTGGAATTGGCCAGGTGTGGGATTCTCAAGTTAGATGACGTTTTTAGGCAGAATGAGAGGATTGATAGTACAATGAAGAAGACCGAGATAACTGCAATGCACTGTATAGATTCAAG